TCTGTGTCCTGTCCACAAGAGGGCTGGGGAAGACGGTGTAATCTGGATTCATGTGCCTTTCTCTCAGATCTTTCACAGATAGAAAAGTGGCTTGAGTCCTTTGCTTCAAGCCCCACCACATATATCAAAGAGTTCCATATCTGACTCAATCATTTGATTTGACCTTCAATGACGTCCATATGATCTTTTCTAACACCCTCCTGCATGAGAAGCGCAGGCAAGTTTGGGAACAAGCTAGAAATTATGTTGATGAGGTACATCAGACCTTCCCTGCCCACCAGACTGGCACTGAAGCGGTCCCTGATCGGAACCCCAACTGGGATTATAATTCGCCTGGAGGAGTAACTAGTAGAAACCAATTAATTACTTGCCTCATGGCAGGACTTAAAAAGGCAGCCTATAAGGATATCAATTATAAAAACCTCCAGGAAGTCATCCAAGATAAGAATGAAAACCTTCAGCATTTTTAAATCACCTGACTAAGGCTATATTACAATATACTAATCTGGACCCTGAGACTCCAGATGGGAGACAACTACTAATGACCTACTTTTCTCCCAGAGTTCCCCCAATATTAAGGCCGAACTAAGGTACCTCAAAAGGGGGCCCCTAACTTCCCAAGCTGAGGTTCCGGAAGTGGCCTTTAAGGTATATAATGACAGAGATGAGAAGGCCCAGAAGCAGAAATATCAGATGCTCGCTCAAGCCATCAGTCCGGCCTCAGTATCTGTTCCTGGTTCCACTTGCTCACAGAAGGGTCCCTTGGGACTGCTTGGACTGTTTTAAATGTGGTCAGATGGGTCACTGTACTCATATTATATGTCCCAAGCCTTGCAAGCCTCCAGGCCCTTGTCCTAAATGCCATTAAGAGGGACACTTGGCCATTGACTATCCCTGACTCCTTGGCAGCCCCTGGCCATCGAGCCCTTCTGGTTCCTCTTTCCAACTCTTAGGACTGGCTACAGAAGACTAACGAGTCCCAGGTCCCCATCACCCAACCATTACCATCACTCCAATGGAAACCAGGGTAATTCTGCATATTTCAGGTAGGCCTGAGTCCTCCCTCCTATACACCAGGGCTACATATTCAGTCCTCAAGGAGTTCTGGGGGCCTGCTATCAACCCTTATAGACACCTAGCCTTGTTTGCACTTTTGGCTCTCTAATTTTTACCCACTCCTTTTTGGTCATCTCACAGTGCCCTGTTCCCCTTTTGGGAAGGGACATCCTCACAAAGTTGGGGGCTATGCTTTCCTTCTCCCTTCATATATGCTTCCATCCAGACTTGCCAGCTGCTCCCCTGATCCTCACCCTTACCTTAGGACCATCCCCTATTCTGTCTGCCAGTGCTTTCCCATTACCTGCTTCCAAGGTGGACCGTACTGTCTGGATATTTCAAGTCCAATTGCTTCCTACTACGAGCCCATTCACATAAGGGCTTACATTCTTTACACCCTATTGCCTTTTATCTCTACAGGTTTCTCTGATGAAAGATCCCATCTTATCTGGAAGGAGAGTGGATTCCTTACCACCAAAGGAACCTCAATTACTAATGCCCCCTTTATCTCTGATCTCCTTCAGGCCTCAAAGCTTCCCACTGCCATCAGCACCTCACATTGTAAAACCCATAAGACCTCCTTTGTGACCCTAGACAACAACAATGCAGACTCTGCCCTCCAACAGCAAACTCCACCTGCAGTCCTCTGCCTTGCTAGTTCCCTAATGGATTCTTCCCCACCTGACACTCAACAGATACTTACCTTCCTTCACAACCTCTTTCACCCTAACACCACATCTTTAAAACAATTTCTCACTTCCCACCTTAAACTCTCTCCAGAAGACCTACAATTTCTTTCTACCCTCTCTGCCTCATGTGAAATTTGCCAAAAAGACAATCCCACCTCCAATCTCTGCCCACCTGCCTTCCCTTTAAACCAGGCAAGAGGACAGCTCCCTTGCTCTGATTGGCAAGTGGATTTCTCCCATATGCCCCCGTCAAGCGGTACTAATTTCTCTTGGTACTCATCAACACCTTCTCGGGATGGGTTGAGACTTTTCCTACCACAGTGTGCTCCCACAGTGGCCAGCATCCTCATTGAACACATTCTTCCTCGGCCTCAACCTCCTTGCTCCAGTCTAATAATCATCCTGAATTTACTTCCCATATTTCAAGGTCTGTAGCTAAGGCACTCAACATCTCCTGGCATTTTCATATCTCTTATCATCCTCAGTCCTCTGGAAAGGTGAAATGTACCAACTGAACCTTGAAGAACATTTTCACTAAATTATCCCTTGAATTACATTTAGATTGGACTAAACTCCTTCCCTTGGCTCTTCTTAGGTTACGGGCCCTCCCAAAGAAGCACTCAACTTCTCCCCTTTTGAACTTCTATATAGACTGCCTATCTCCCTACTCAGCTCACCAAAATTGGGCAGCCAAGGGCAGCATTCCACCACCACTCAACTTCCATCATCATTTCAATGACATCCTAAGCCCCTACTGACAACTCAAATGCTGCCCCTTCCCAGCAGGAAGCAGTTACAGAAGATTGACATATGTTCCCGTTCCCTAAGGGGCCCAATAAACAATAAAAAGGGGGGGAAATATAAGGTCCTTGCTTAGCATCTAGGCAGCCATTTTAAGGAAAAAGTTTTACTTTCCTGCCCAAAGGCGTTTCTGAGAAAGGCTCACCACTCTGGCATACCAACCCAACCCCTAACCACCCGGAACCCAAGCCTGTTTTGCCTCTCTCCACTATAGAGAGATGGCCTTTATTTGTCAGCTCTGACAAATAAACTCTCATGTGTATCTCTGCCTGGTCCCCATTTTTCATTTCCCTTACCTATCTCTCGTTTTCCTCAGTTTCCCTTCACTGTCAACCCAAGAAACTTATCCCCCACCCCGGTCATCTCCACCTGTCCTTCGTACAGAAGACACTAGCTGTCTTTGACCTAATAGTCCTTATTCTTCCTCTTATCACCCTAAGACCTGCCCCTAATACGTGCAAAGTTCAGTACAAGAGGCCCCATTTTGCTTGGTTTTAGTCGACTATTTTAGTGTTCTGAACTCCTATTCCCTGCTTCTTTAACCCACAATTTTCCAATTTCTCTTTCACTGTTTTAACTGTTCCATTTCTTCCCCACATGTGATACCTTCTTAGCCTACTATTTCAGAGTTATAACTTTCACCACAGACCTTCCCTGAGACAGACCCCAGCGCCACCATATTCTTTCCATTCCTCAGCCTGGAAGCCCCCATGTCTCCCCTTCTTCAGCACAAGAGCTCGGCAAGCGTTATTTCTTTCCTCTCTCAGGGTTCTGACCCATAGTTCCTCCCCAAGCACAAAGCAAAAACCTATGTCTCTCCTCTACAGCCAAAAAGTCATCCCTCTTCCCCTTCAACTTTCTCAACCTCCATTCTTCTCTTATCAGCCTGAGATATTCTGACTTCTCCCAACACACACATATTCTCCACCTTTGTGTCCAGGATCATGACATCCCTGGTCAGCCTCTGACACCGCCCCCCCCCCTTTCTTTCTAGTCCTGCATGGAAGTTTTCCTCCTTCCTTTCAGTATTCCAACCCTAACATTTTTTCTTGTCATCAGGCCGAAGGCCCCTTATTTCTTCTTTTCAACGTTCTGAATCCCCATCTCTCTCTCCTTGAGAAGCCCGATATCTCCCCTTAGGCGTTCTGATCTTCCTCATTCTTCTCCGTCTTCTTTCCCAGGATCCCGACACTCCTGTCAGCATTCTGAGCCATATTTCTTCCCGTCCTCCACCTAAATCCTTCCAGACCTCCCTTTCAATACTCCGGCGCCGCCATTCCTCCACCTCCTCAGCCTGAGGACCTTTCATTCCTCCCCGGCAGGGTTCCGAGCCTCAATTCCTTCCCATTTTCCGCCTGAGCGCTCTCCATTTCCACTCCCACGGCTATCTCACCAGCTTGGCACCAGGCCGGTAGCTTCCGCCGCCCTAGGCCTGAGGACCCATGGTGAGGGTCCTATCTGCGCGTCCCGCCTGCCCTAATTCCTCTTCCTCCTCCGAAGCAGTCTTCTCGTAAGCAGTAGCTGTCGTCTCCGCGGCCGTTCGCTGCTCCCGGAACCGGAAATCCGCCGCCTGCCCCTCGGGCTCCACCCACGACGTGACACCTGCGCGCTGCCCTGACGGCGCGTGCCCTTAGAGGGGAGACTCCCGCGCCTGCGCACTGAGGCTCCACAGCGGCGCGCGCCTTGTCGAGGATCTGCTGCGCCTGCGTACTGTCTCCAACTGCGTCAAGCGCCCGGGTCAGAGGCTAGAGGGGCCTGCTGTGGCGCCGGCGGTCCTCGCTTCCCCTGCCGGCGCATCTTACCCACGCTGCCCATCCAGGTGGCGCCTCCGCACCCCAGTTCTACCCTACGGGGGGCAGTGAACCGCTTGATTTGTGCCTGTGATCTCTTCCACAACTTTCCTAGGTGACACTTTCTTCACCACTCCCCGCGAACCTCTCCCCAGGGCTAGAGAGTTCTGCTTTCTCCGCCCCCGCCGACCAGCAGCTCCCTCCCCGGGAACCTGGGAAGGGGGCGGTGGCGCGCTGGGAGTGAGGGTGCGTCTCCCTCCCAAGAGCCACAGTGGGGAGAGCACTGTATGGGGTCCTGGCACAAGCACAAACAGTGGGCTCCTGATGTAAACAGGTCCTCCAGGAGGGGCTTGGGGGAGATGGCCTCTGTACGAGGCTGAACGTGCCTTTGGTCTGCTGAATGTTACTTCCACAGGGGATGGCTGCTGACTGGATACTACTGACCCAAGACTACAGGCTGACTGAGTAGGTCTTTGGGCTCAACCCTGGCAGGGCATATTCTCACAGCCCAAGGGAGCATAAAGTGTATGCCAACTGTATACTCACAGCCTACACATGTGCTGCAGCCCAGCCTGAGTACAGACATACCACCACCCATCTTATCCAGGGGTTGGGAATGCAGTTGTAACTGGAACACACATGGAGACCATAAGGAGTTATCTGATTGGTTCTTCAAAATTTTATTAACAAAACCAGGGGAGAAGGGAAGCAAGGGTGAGTAGACTCCACAGTCCCACCCAGGCACAGAAAATGGAGAGAGGGAAATTCTGAAACCCTTTAGGCAGTCAAAGGTGGATAGGCACAGGGAGAAAACTCAGGGACAATGGAAGAAACAAATAATGGAGAAATGGACAAAAGGGGATTCCGGGCCACTCCCCCAAATGGAATGCAGGGTGAGGGCTCTGAATCCGTAGGCTCAGCGGTCGGCACTGGAGCGCAGGTCGGTAGTGAGTGGGTCATGCTGGATGGTTTGGTGCAGCATCAGGGCCAGTAATCCTGCCCGGTTTGTCATGGCTGTGCGTACATTGCGCTCTTGTTCAAACAGCTCGTCCAACTTGTACCACTGCCAAGTGGGTGGAAGGTGCCATGAGAAGGGGAATCCCAAAGCCCCGCTTGACCCTAGCCACATCCATCATTGAAACCTACCACCCGTACACGCTCCAAGTCCACTTCAGCACGTCGCAGCTTCTCCCAGCAGTAATGGCGATTGCACTGGCGCTTCGGCAAGCGGCAGAAATCACCTGTGAGCTCAAAGACATCACGTACAAGGGGGCAACCGCATACCTCATCAGCTGGCACCTGCAGGAACACCAGAGTACAGATAAATAAGGATGGTGAGGAAGAAGGGAGAGTGAAAAGAGGAAAGGGCAGCGATAAGACAAGGAAAGAGAAGGGAATGGAAGTTGTCATAGAAAGGAAGAAGGGCAGCTGATGAAGGAAAATATGGAAGTGAGACATTGAGGTAGAAAGGGGCAGAATAGAGGAAACTGAGGAAAAATCTTACTTTGGGATCCCGAGAGTGCTCAGGACATAGCACCTGGAGCCGCTTACAGTATGTTTTGCTCTGAGGATTATAGACATCACAGAAGAGTCTTGTGGCCCTGGTGGTTTATAGTAGAGAGAAGGTAATGGAGAGAGAGAAGAAAAGAGGCCCACCTATCCTTGCCCCTGCCCATTTCCTGCCCTGGCTCCACATGTTCTATTTCTGAGCCCACCCTTAATCCAGCCCCAACTCTTCATGGCACCTCACTCACCCTTCAATGCGTGTGGGGTACATGGACCCAAAGGACGTCTGGCTCTCATACTGAAAGGATGAGCACAAATGGAAGGAACTGTGGGTGTGCGCTGCATCCCCTCCCAAGTCACCATCCAAACAACAAATCCATCCCCCATGGGCCCACTCATGTTCCCAAACCATCCATCCCCTCAGGTTGACACCCCAACCTTAGCATAGCAGCGCTCCATGTGGCGCAAGGCAACACGTGGGTTGATGGGGTGCCCACAGGAGACACAGAAGATCTGTAGGTCTGTGTCATCACTGTCGTTCTCATTGCTCTGCGGGATGTGAAAGGAATGATGAGACCAGGTGGGATTAGGTACTAAGCCATGTCCTAATGTATACTCCCTGCATCCTTACCTCTTCATCCTCGCGCACAGCCTGCTGCTTGGCACGAAGAATGATGGCCTCGAGCTCATGGAATCTGCGTTCCATTTCCTGAAGACGGGTGCGGGCACTCTGCTGCTCCCGGCGAATACGTTCAAGCAGCTTTTTGCCATGTTCTTCAGCAATGCAGGGGCTCTGCTGCCACTGCTGAATGCGCTGGGGAAGGATCTCATAGATGCGGCTGCAGGAGGGCAGTGGGTGGGGTATAGGCAAGGAAGATGGCAAACAGGTGGTCAAAGGATAGCAAATGGAAGGGTGATGAAATGGTGAAAGGGGAAGTAAACAGGTGAATGGCTAATGCTACATGGATGGGCAGAAAGATAGGTTAATGGATGGGCAAATGGGTATATGGATAGGTGTGAGACTGACTGACCAAATGGTAAAAAGGTACTGGTAGATACACTGAAAATTCTAGTGATGCTCTATTATGTACTTCTTACCTCCCTCCTCCCACCCCTCCATGCCAGGAAAGACTCACTTGGCAGCCAGTTTCATGCCACAGTCATCTGAGCAATACTTGGAGCCAGGCTGGGCAGCACGCACACAGCCAGGCCCCAGGCACTGCGGTAGTGATGCAGGGTCCTTAGCATCAGCTCTCTCTGGGTGTTTCCATTTGTCCTTGTGTTTCTGCTTTTGCCGATGTCTCTTGTATCTCTCCTCCTTCTGTGGTTAAGACAGGTCAGGGGGGAATCTAAGTCAGCTTCAGGTCCTGTCTCCCCCTCCATTCTAGTCTTTTCTGGCTCTTCTCCCACTTATCCCCTTATCTAATATTTCTGCCTCCCCCCCCCACCCTCTACCTTCCCACAACCATTTTACCCTCTCCATCACCTTCTTCTCAGACTTCTTCTCCCGACGCTTCACATGCTTCACTTTCACTGCTCTTTTCCGTAGGGCAGGGTCGAGGAATGGGGACTCTTCTGTGTCACTCATCCAGGGCTGCAAGCAGGGCATGCACTGACCCTCTTGCCTCATTCCTGACAGCCCTATCACCTGCTTATTTCCCAATAACCTTATATGCCCTCCACCTCCACTCTCCCCTTGGGAATCTCTCTGTTTCTAGAACTGCCATCCTCCCACCAAGGGAGGCTCCTGCTGCTCACTAGGCCATGGTCATCAAAGGCCCCTGCACAGAAGTCCTGGTACAGGTCAGGGTCCAGTGGTAGGTCTTCATCAGAAAGTGGCTCAGGTGTGGCTGTAGCCTCAGGTGGCTCCTTAACTGCTGATGATGCCACTGCCCCCTCATCTTCACGGATGCGCCCCAGCTTCTGTGATGGCTGTGGCTGCTGTTGAGTGGGTGGCGGCCGGCGGGGCCTTGGCAGGGACTCTGAAGGCGTCACCGGCGAGAGCTGCAGGGCAGAATCTCAGGACTGGCCCTGACCGCCCTGCCCGCATGCCCTGCCCCGCCCTGGGGGGCTGGACTCACCGAGGAAGGGAAGTACTTGTAGGATTCCTGTGCCGGCAGGAGGAAGGCCCAGGTCAGCCCCAGGTAGACAGAGGGTGGCCCTGCCCTAACCCTCCCCCCTAGCCTTGCTTTGCCTCCCCAGACATATCTGCCACCATTTCTCTCACCACCAGAACAGGCTTAGCCCTGCCTATTGTACTCTGACATGCCTGACCACCTGCCAACACTTGGCCCCCCCCTACCCACCAAGATTTGGTGGGGTTCACTTGCCAGCCCAGCATACCTGTTCATGCAGCATTCATGTGGACATGCTAGGCCCTTTCCCACATGTCTGGATACAATCGGGCTCCATCCCATCTGGTCCCCCATTCCTAGCCTCAAACAGCCCTGCCTGTACCTCCCAGCCATGCACCCCGACTTGACCCTGTCCAGCTCTGTCCATGCTCACCCGGGCCCGCAGCTGGCACTGGCGCAGCCGGCACTTCTGCCGGATTTTGTTGGGCCCCCCAAACTTTTTCATGTCTCGGCAGAAGTCACAGTGGCCACAGTCCTCAGTGCGCCGGCATGCTTCACACTCCCCGCACATTCGAGCTGACCTTTTGATCTGCTGCTGCTGCTGGTGATGCTAGGAGACAGTGCCCAGAATAGAAATCAGGAACCTAGAAACAGCTATGATGGAACCACTGTACCCATCCTAACCACTGCAGCCACTCACCTGGCTGGGTGTGGCCACCAAGGGCTGTGGAGAAGATTTATGGGGCGAAGCAGAGCCCCGAGCAAGCATGGCCCCAACCCCTGTCCCGGACCCTGCCCGGCGCTGCAGGTCTGGATCTGGGACAGGTCTCTTGCGCCCTCCACCCTCATCCCGGGGCTCACTGCCGTCCCGTTCATTGCCTTCCCGCTCTCGAGACTTTTTGTGCCGATAGCGAATCTCCAGCTTAGGGTCCTTCTCTGTGGGACAGAAGGTTGGGCCAAGATGGATTAACAAGGAGTTAATCCTCTTTCTAGAACCATCCAATGTACCTGCTCTGCCCTCCTACTTGAGGGCAGAGCTGCCCCTTCCTGTGGAATCCTCTATTACTGCTCTCAATGAGGCCTGCATTCCAGCTCAGCACAGACCAAGAGTCACTATGCCTACAGCCATATACCACGACTGCCCATGAGCCTCCAGTCATGGTTCTTCCTCCTCCCTCAATGCCCAGCCTGCATTCCCTGTCCATCCCGCCCTCCTCACCTCGGCATTCCCGACAGTACCACTCCCGGATGGCCTTGGCCATCTTCTCAGTGATCCGGATGCAGTCCCCATGGAACCACTCATTGCAGTTGTCACACCCGCTACAAAGATGGGCAGAGGTGTGAGGGGCATGCGCTGACAGCCGCCCCTACTTCGCCAGGGCTCTGCCCCACCCACCTCTCCCTAGCTCACATCATGAAGCAGTTGATGTCCGGTTTGCGGCAGATACAGTAGATGGGCGCATTTTCCCCATTCTCCGACTTGCTGTCTTCTCCTGCGTCTGGAGGCTCTGGGTCTGAACCATCTCCCTCCTGTGGGGCACCCCCATTGTGGCAACTCCCAGCCGCGGGCCAGTGGCTCATCCCCCATTACAGCTCCATCCCGGCTCACCTCAGATCCCCACTCTGCCTAGGCTTCCTCCTGAGAGCTCTCCGCGGGGTTCCACAGACCCCCATCACTCAACCCGACACCCCGCTGCTCTGCTGATACGTCTCGTCACTCAGCCCCAGACCTCCCCTCAGTCACCCACTGACAGACGCACATCATCTTATCCGCCTTTCCCTAACAGCTCCTCACAAACACCCTCTCACTCGCCAACAAACTGCCCCCACCAGGGGTCTTCGCGGAACTCCATTCCGAGCTCTCCACAGACTCCGCAATAGCTCAGCGGCAGGCTTGGCGTCGCGGTCCCCAGCCCCGCTCACAGTTTCCACGTACTCCTGACAGACCGTCCGACCGGCTCACCACAAGCTCCTACCCCTCTGCCCAAGGAGCCCCGCCTCACGGTTTCCCACGGAACTGCCATCTGGAGTCCCCACTAAACTTCCACTACGGACCCCCGTGATGCCTCATCACAGAACTCCCAGGTGATTCACCCCGCACCCCACCATTCTTCCCACAGACCCCCACCTTTCGGCCCACAGTCTCGCGGTTACTGCTCACCACAGAACCCCCATGCGTCTACCAGGGGCCACCAGTTCCAGCACCACCGACCTGGGCCGCCGAACCCCTCCCTCGACCCAGTACTCACCATGTTTCCGCTGCCGGCGCAGCCCCTCGTGACTCCAGCTAGCGACCAGCGAACCTGTACAAAACCGGCGGCGGCGTCCGCGGCGGTTGCAAAGGCGCCCACCGCTACTTCCGCTACGGTCGCGCCTCCCGGGCACCGTACTCTTATTGCGCACGACCAGTGCGACGGCTCAGTAGCAAACGAGTAAGTCGCCCTCCCAGAGCTCCTGAAACTCCCTCAAGCGCCGCCATCTTGGCTGTCGAGTCCGTCAGGCAGCCGAGTCCGTACGTTCGCGGGAAACATGGCCGCGCCTATGTGAGGCTTTCCGGAGGGCGTCGCCACCTTCTCCGTCGAGTCCGTACGGCGGACTCTTGGAATTACTCGACGTTATAGGCAATATGGCCACATCTACTTTGTGATTTCCATTCAGACGCCGACTTCTTGGAATCTGACTCCGTAAGGGGCCCGACTCCGTACGTTCCCAGACGATATATGCCGGCGTCCTGGTCGCAGTTTCGCGGAGGGGGATGCCATCGTGGCTGTCAATTCCGAACATCGACCGACTCTCCTGCCCGTCTGTTTACAGATACACACAGCTGCCTCCTGCGAACTACTGCTTGGATCAAGTCCCGTTCAGTTCCCCTTCCACGTATGACAGTGGGGCGCCGGCAGACTCTGTGCCTTGCCTGGGCGAAGCAAACCGGGATCCCCAGGTGTCTCCGACTTCACCTGCCTTCACCCGCTCTCACTCTTGGCTGTTAACCAGGTTTGTCTGGCACGGCTCCACATTTATTTATAAATAATTCTTAAACTAATTTCAAATTTCGTTTTAGTTGTATGAGCGGCACAATAGCCTACCAGTATAGCACACCTTACGCAGCCATTTCTTGGTTTTGAACATTTAGAACTGAAGACATAACTAAAAGGGGCCTCTGAAGACTGCTGTCAGCCCTGGAGAACATGGGCTGACAGCAGTCGGGTCCTCCGGGATTCCAGCCTCAAGATCTAGTTAATTTAAACTTTTAACCGTTTCAACTTAGGCGCTGACACCATTGGAGTAATAAATTACGTGGAAATGAACTTTCATGCGTATCACCGCTTCTTTCAATGAAAGTTTAATATAAATTAACAACAAGTTGCTGCAACTTTTTTTAAAAAAATAAATAAACCGGGCTGGGGTTGTGGCTCGGCGGTAGAGCGCTAGCCTAGCAGGGCGGGGCCTGGGTTCCATCCTCAGCACCACATAAAAATAAAGGCATTGTGTTGTGTCCATCTACACCTAAAAAATAAATATTAAAAAAAATCTATAAAACCAGATCTCTCGTCGCCATTCATGAGTCCCTTATTCTGGGCAACTAGAATCCTTGTCTCCTGGGTAGCCATCCTCATTCTCAAATAAACCCCTCTTCTTACACACTCTTGTGAAATTCTGTTTTAGGTGACAAAACATTTCCAAATATTATTGTAAATAAAATTGCAATGAAGATTTGTGTGTGCGCACGTGGGCACACGCACTGTGTGAGCACTATCTGGGAGTGAGACAACACACGCACACACTCTGGGATTGAACCCAGGAGCTTTAGAGCTACATCCCCAGCCCTTTTTATTTTTATTTTGACACAGGATCTTGCTAAGTTACCCAGGCAGCCCTCCAACTTACGATCCTCTTGCCCCAGACTCCTGAGTTTCTGGGATAACAGGCCTCTGCCACTGTGTGCTGTGCCAGGAACGTTCTTCAGCACTTATGATCATGTCTATTCTGATTATTTCCTTAAAGATTATGAAAATAAATGGAAAAATTATCATGAAAGTAAAACCAAGGGAAAATCTGAATAAACTCTCTAGCTTTGTTTATAGTTACTTGCTAAACAACAATTATCAATTACTTGATAAACACCAATTTTAGAAGTGACTTAAACAATATGTTCTCATTAACATTTCTATAGATAAACCCTCTGATATTTTGGTCAGGTAGTAATGGTTGTTTAAGTTGTTTTCAGAAACTTGGAGGCCACTGTTTTCTAAAACTGGTTGAACCACTGACCCTTTACTTGGGCCTGCACAAGTGTCCACTGGGTAACATTTTGCAGAATGACATATGCATGTCCCAAACTGCTGCCTGGAATGTGAACTTTGGTTACCTCTGATATTGTACATGGACGCACTGTATGATGAAATTAGAACTGATATTACAGCACTAGTATTCACAAAAAGAAAGAGCTCAATTATAGGTTGGCCGACCAGGAAACACAAGGCACACACTCAAATCTACACCCCCATCAGCCAGTGAAGAGGATTTTTAAGGGTTTGGGGAATTAAGGGGGCCACTAATGCCTTGGGTCTAGATTGAGCACAGTGTCTTTTTCTTGGGTTTTACTAGTTTAGTTCTAGTTTGTGATTTTTATGGTCAGAGCCACTTGCTATTGATTTTGGTTCATGTAGCTCCCAGTTTTGAATCTAAGTTTCCATTGGTTTGGGCTCTTAGTCCTGTCTAGCTCAGGAGACATCCTTAAGTCAGACTTGAAGATGACTCTTAGGATACCATGTTCTGGAAAACCACAACAGTTAGGAATCAGGAAGTTACCATTGAAGTATGGAGCAGGAAGTCGTGGCCTATCAACCAAGGGCTGTGATAAAGGCCGGGAAATGCTCAAAAATTAGACTGAGATCTTCATAAACAAATTCTTATTGTTTCTCAAATGCACTGGCAGACAGGTTATTCAACAATGTTTTTGGTGGCCTGATAAATCTGTTTATGGTTATTATGCCTGGTTGGAAAATTCTGGTATTAAACACCTGGCAGATGACAGTAACAGTCTACTGAATTATTGTCATGGTTGCATGTGGGTTATCATGCATAGAAGCCTAGTGGATAGAAACATCTGATGTCTGGGAATGACCAATGGACATTTTCTCTGGTCAATTGCCTAGGGACAGTGTGAATTTCTATCCTGCTCTGCCATGGCCCACACAGCACCTGAGATGGGTGTGATCTGCCAAGATGGCAATCAATCTGCTGACTGCAAGACAGCAGGAAGCAAAACTCTGCCCTTGAAACCTTATCCCTGCTTTTGAGGTACCCCCTTAAGTAAACCACTGGAGCCATCTTTTCTTTGTCTAGTTCCAGTACGCACGTGGAGTAGATTTATCAGGGGCTCTGATTTATGTAAATATATTTCTGATTATTTGTATTTTGTTCATCACTAATTAATTTAGACTTTTAAGTTTCCAGGTGGCTTACACCCTCCTTGACAGGAAGAAGATATCCCCCACCCTCCTACCCCCACCCCCTGTGAGCTGGCCTTTGCTCCTTTCACGATGACACCCTAAACATGAAGCTGGCCCAGGAGGAGATTCAAAGTAAGTAGATTCTCCGGTAAATGGGGCCTGATCACCCCCAGACACAGAAGATAGAAATTAAGGTAAGCTATACCCACCTCAAAGTAATAGATGATGCACCGCAATCTAGAAAGAGAATAGAGAGGTGGGAAAGTTCATTTTGATACTCTGATATAAAACCGGAGCAAAACTCTTCCAGAAAAAAAGGGCTATCCACTTAAAATCCTTATTAAAATAGAATTTAGGAGGAAAGAACCCATTTTCTACTGTTTCAGTAGTGCTTGAACAATTTAAACTGAGCAGACAAATTCTCCTCTGCAGTCCCTCCCACTGCATCCTTACAGAACTCTACATAGAGCAATTTAACTTAAAGGCATAACCCAGCTGAATTCTAATCATTTTAGAATTAATTCTACTCTAATCATTTATATCTGAGGCTGGCTTTGAACTTGCAATCTTCCTACCTCAGCCTCCTGAGCCACTGGGATTACAAATGTGGGCCACTGCGTCAGGAAGCTGTTAGGTTTTTAAGATCATAAAAATGTGATTTTGACCAAATAACATATAAATCAAATAGAGATAAATGTGTGTGGACCAAATCTGCAGGGAAGCCCATTGAATACTAAAATGTGGTATTTGGGAACTTCCAGTGGCAGTCTTGATGGTAAGATCACCCACACCTATGAGTCCTATTCAGCTCTGCCAGATCCCACACAGCACTGGACAAGAGGTGAATGCTGCAGCCACAGAGCCTCTCAGAGATGGGTATAGCCTTCCAAGATGCCAGTCAACCTGTTAACTACAAGACATTATGAAGCAAGACTTTACCCCTGAAACCTTATCCCTGCCTTTGATATACCTCCTTAAATAAGCCACTGGAGCCATTTTCTAATTGTTCAGCTCCATCTCCTATGTGGGCTGGATATATAAGGCGCTCTGCTTTTGAAACCTATTCTTTGACTCTGCCTCTTATTTCTTCATTAACTATTGCAGATTGTATTTTCTGAGGTGGCTTATCCCCTCCTGCACAGGAAAAATTACCCTGGTGAGGCACTGGTTGCCTTGTGATAGATAAATGTTTGTAAATGTACACAGTAACAAAAATAATTATTTTTACACTGTTTAAAGGTTTCCTCTAATCTGTTCAGTAACTAAACTTATAAGACAGATATCCATAATCTAATGGATATTAATTAAATATCTAGATCATTTCCAAATAAGATGAAATATTAGTGTATTAGTTAATAAACATATGTTCAAGCATTTTTACTTTTGGCTTCATAAAGTTTGTAGGGAGGGGCTGGGGATGTGGCTCAAGCAGTAGCGCACTCCCCTGGCATGCGTGCGGCCCGGGTTCGATCCTCAGCACTACATACAAAACAAAGATGTTGTGTCCGCCAAAAACTAAAAAAAAATAAATAAATAATAAAATTCTCTCTCTCTCTCTCTCTCTCTTAAAAAGAAGAGTGCACATTAAAAAAATAATAATAAAGTTTGTAGGGAAAATATGAGTCTGTTAATAGTTATGTATCTCTCCACGAGGAACACATTTCTAGAAACTAAGAAATGGTATTAAATCTGTAGAGTGGTGTTTCACAATTGTTAACCGTCATAATTCTAACATAAGGTAACTGAAACTAGAAATTAGAAGGGAAATGACTCTGAATGCAAGGAAAGTAAGGCATCTTTCAGGAAGAAGTTTATGAAATATGAGGATATGTTTTTGTTGAGGGAAAAAGAATGTGATTTTAACCTAAAAATTGGTTGTTCCAATGTTAGTGAGAACAAAAATGTCCAAAGACTATAAAGATTATGATTTTTCTAAAAATTGAGTAATGACATAAAATAGTACAGAGACATAATCCCCTGTGCTCAAATGTAGACTTGGAGTATTGATTAGTTCTTTTTAAAAAATATTTTAGTTGTAGATGGACCCAATAGCTTTATTTATTTTTTAATGTTGTGCTGAGAAGTGAACCCAGTACCTCACATATTTAGGCAAGTACTCTACCATTGGGCTACAACCTCAGCCCTTGATTTGTTCCTTTTTTTTTTTTTTTTTGGTACCAGGGATTGAACTACTCAGGGGCACTCAACCACTAAGCTACAACCCCAGCCCTATTTTGTATTTTTATTTAGAGACAGGTTCTCACTGAGTTGCTTAGCACCTCACTGTTGCTGAGGCTGGCTTTGAATTCACGATCCTTCTGCCTCAGCATCCCGAGCTACTGGGATCATAGGCATGCACCACCCCACCTGGCTCTGAATTGCAATTCCTAAGACCTCAAATATCTTCTCTTAGTTTGACAATTTCTGGGATTGAAGTGATTGACAAGATAAAACTCTAGAAGTAGGATTATTTTATAGTTGAGAAGAGATTTCTTAAGACAGTTCATAAAAATATATTTCTAACAGTATTATATGAAGGTATTCAGGTCAGTTTCCTGACTAGTTTCTTAGATTAGTGCAAACTCTTGAAATCATGCACCCCTTCTAGTAAAAGAGTGATGGCATCCATAGCCACTTATAAATAGTATACACTTATTACCGTACTAATATAGTGCAAAAATCAGAAACCACATAAAAAAGAAATATTTAACGGGATGATATTATGGTTTAGATCTTAAATATACCTCAAAAGTCCCACATGCTAAAGGCTTGATTGCCTCTTGGGAAGTGGTAGACCTTTAGGAGATGGGGCCTAGGAAGGGAGTAATTTATTAGGGGTGTGAACTTGAAAGGGACATTGGGACCCCAGCCCCTTCCTCCTTCTCTCTCTCTCTCTCTCTCTCTCTCTCTCTCTCTCTCTCTTCCTCTCATTCTCTTCTTCCCAGCCTCCATGAAATGAGAAAATTTTCTCTACCACATGCTCCCCATGTAGATGAGCTAAAAATAATATAAGCCAGATGTAGTGGCTGAAATTATTATTATTATTATTATTATTATTATTAATCCTGTATTATTATTACAGGATTATACCTGTAATCCCAGAATTTGGGAAGCTGAGGCAGGAGGATCACAAATTCAAGGCTAATCTGGGCAATTTAATGAAATCCTGTCTGAAAATATAAAATAATGGCAGTAGCAGAGCTGTCCAGTACTGCCAAAACACACAAATTAAAAAAAAAAAACAAAAAAAAAAAACTATCTCTAACATTTCCTTAAAATCCAGGTACCATCTTAGCTAGTACTCTTAGGGAGCTCCTGATTTCCACTAACGGTGCTCACTTTCATCTGTGTGCAGACATCAGGAGGAAAACAAAGAATAGTAAATGTTTTATCAAAAAATAGACACTTGTGACTGTAAATCTAGCTTAAGATAACACTACTAATCATAATTTTAAAGCCTTATATTTGCCTAGTTCTTTATAGTTTGCAAGATACTTTCAAACATAGCACTTTATTTGATTCTAAGTAGCTTATAAGGTAAATGGAGCAGCAGAATTGCTATTCTTACTTTACAGTGAAAGCAGGTGAGGCTCAAGCAGCCCAAATCCCTTGCCAGAGCATGCAGTAAGTAATAATGAACCAAATTTTAATAGTTAAGCCTTCATACTGTGAGTATTGGGCTGTGGACTGCAATCCAGAGAATCCCAAATGGGAGATACTTGGTAAAAAGGCTAATGGAGCAGTCATGGAATGGAATAGGTTCTGAAAGCTGAGGATCACAGTAAACCTGAGTAAGGAAATGGATTTGAAGTCCAGGTAGTCAGAGATCAGGATCAGAATCTTAAGCAGGGAAACAAGTAACACAAAATTAGAAACTATGTACAAAGCCTCAGAAGAAGTAGGGACCATAGCAACAGGAAAGGTAAGCCCAACTCTACCAAAAACTCCTCAGGAGGGAGATAGAAAACTTCCAGGTACTTATCGCAAACAACAAGGCTTAGATAAATACCTAAAATTCAATTACAGAATGAAGTTTAATGCTTCAATTCTAATTGTCCAGCAAGTACGACAAAATCAGAACTAGAGTCATTCACTGATGCATGTATTAACAAAACTTACCCCATCCTGCTAAAAGTACAACTGATGAACTGATTAAGAGTGAATTTGGACTGGGGTTGTAGCTCAGTGGTAGAGTGCTTGCCTAGCATGAGGGAGGCACTGGGTTTGATATTCAGTACCACATAAAAATAAATAAAATATTGTATCCATCTAAACTAAAAACAAATTTAAAGAGTGAATCTACTGCATATTAATGTTTCCAAAACCCTTTTAGTCTAATTACTTGGATTCTGTATATATTTTTGTTAGATTTCAATTTTTTTATTATTAGTTGTTCAAAACATTACAAAGCTCTTGACATATCATATTTCATACATTTGATTCAAGCGGATTATGAACTCCCATTTTTACCCCTAGATTTCAATTTTTGCTTGTTGATAAAACCCTGTGTTTCATATCTTCTAACGTTTAATTTTGTTTTTCCAATGATATTGGGGCTGGAATTAGGGACTGTCACATGCTAGGCAAGTGCTCTACTACAGAGTTACTTCCCCAATCCCTAGTTCTTTTTCTTTTTTCTTTTGAAATAGGGTCTCACTGAGTTGCCCAGGCTGGCCTCAAACTTGTGATTCTCCTGCCTCAGACTTCCAAGTAATTAGGACTACAGGCCTGTGCCACCAGGCAACATTTAATATTTTGATTTTTAAATCTCTTTCCTTCTTTAAATTCCTTTCATGTGAAGTACTAATTTTAGTATATTGACAGTTCATGGAGCACGAGAAAAAACAAAGAAATTAAACTGTTGCCTGGTTTTCAGGAGAGTCAAAATGGTTTTTTTCATCCCTTAGGAAGAAATGAGAGCAGGGAATTCACATTCTCTTTTGGTAGTTTTTTAGTTCCGGGATACATCCAGAGGGGAGCAGCCTGGAATCCCGACAGCAAGAGACAGAGAATCTTTGATTCTTGACAACAGATTGTTGACTGAGGCTAGTGACAGGTGGGGTTGAGAAGAGGGCAGAGCCTTGAAGTGAAGGTGGAGCTTGAAGAGGGGACTGGGCCTGTGGTAGTGAAGGAAAGGCCCCAGTTGCCGGGTCAGATTTGACTTTGAGCTGTGAACTACCTACCTGAGCTGGCTGGTGCCCGAGTGACATAAATTCTATGGCCCTGCTACCTTCCCTTTTTATAGGACAGCCCCCACGAGGCCCTCAGTCCCTGGCTCTGAAGACACGGGGATATTTGGGGATGCCTCTGTGTTCTCTTTCCTCCCATCCCAGCCTGGTTTTAGAAGGGCCTTTCAAACTTGATATGAAGAACAAGAGACAGAAAAGATGAAAAGCCACCAGTAGGGACTCCAAAATGGTATTTAGAGAGACTGGATTAAAGAAATCATAAAATCGTGAAATAGAACACAGTGCTAACTCCAAAGGACAGTTCCAGGGATACTCCTGATTTGAGGAGATTTCTATTTATTAACTATGACCCGCATGCATATTCATCACAAAATCTGCAGCCTGTCTGCTGAAAAAGAAGAAAGCCCCCACCCCCCATGAAGTCGCTACTTCCAGAGTAAACAAAGAGACAAATTACTGGATAAAATCGGGGAGAGGGGATGGATCTGGAGTTAACAGGTCAATGTCTTTAGAAGAGGAGCCCCTCCTCTTTTGAGATGTAACAGGAGAAAGGAAATGGAATGGAGATCTCCAGACCACAAAAGGTATTTCAGAGACCTAATTTACATACTAAAGCTAGACACTGGAGGTAGTGTAGGGGAACGGGCAATTCTTAAACTCATTTAATCTTGTGTCAAATACCCTTAGGCCAGAGCATGCGCCTCTCTGAGAGGGAGCTCGGACAAGGGTCTAGTTTGCCGGGCGGGGGTCTGGGGCAGAGGGAAGCCAGAGAACTCTCAGGGTCTGGCACACTGTCCGACTCCCACGCTGACCGTGGTTACCACCTTGGGAGTGGGGCTTGTCACTTTCCACCGCATGTCGTCCAACGGCCGTTTGTAGCTTTCGGAGTTGTGATTGTAACTAAGAAAGGAAAAGCGGATGCAAGAGACCGGAAGCGGGCTCTGTCACCATGGGAACCGAAGACGCTAGTTTCGCAACTTCCTTCCGGGGCTGAGTTGCTGAGTGTACCTAGTCTCACCGCTAGTCAAGCCCTCTCACCTAGGCTTAAA